CTGATTCTTTTCCATCAGATCAGCAATCTGATTTTTCAAAAAATCCACAATTTTTATTTGAATGCTGTGAGTTGCACTGAGTAGAAGTAGGCTAATGTACTTTATTATTTTAGCAAAGGTTTTATTTCACTCTCATTGTCTTCCTTCCCTGTGAATTACATATCAGGCTGTCATTAAGAAGACGTGAACTTTGCTCTGAAAATTTGTAACCCATTATTCAAAGATTAGTGACTTCAGATGGTGGATTGAAGCAACCCCCTCCTCTAGTCAACAGAAGGTCAGGCAGTTGTAGCATTCAATCACTAAAAATCAAAGAAGCCCCAGTGTCCTGTTGTGGCTGGTTGCCTTTGGTTGTCTTTTGTGAAGCAACAGGCACTGCTGTGTCAGTCTGCTCAGCACAGGCCAATTTTTCTCTCCAGCAGGTCATCTTTCCAACACTGTTGGAAACCATTAGTTGCCATTAGCATGTAAACTAGCTCTTCTCTGTTCAGGAAAGAGAGGAAGGGACAAGATTGTATTAATTGTTGTTTTTAATCAGCTGCTGTTGGTGTAGCTCTGAAGGTGGCAGTCTCTGGGCTGTGCTCCAGATCTGCTGTAGGAATCGTACAACTGTGGTGAGAAATAAAATAGGTAAGTGTGGGGGGAAGTCTGAGCATGTTTCATTTTTGAGGGAGATGAAGCGTTATTGAATGGCTTTCCCCTTAAAGATTAGATAGCACAGTTGCAGTTAGACTCCCTAGAGATCTGGGAGAGAGGAGAAGCTGTGTCAGACAGATGGCTGTAGTAATTGCTTTTCTTTTCCTCCCCTTTGGTAGAAAACCTTGGGAAGCAAAACAGTAAAGCCTAATTTTTCTGTAGTGAAATTGGTCTCTGCTAGGAATTGAATTTATAGTGGTTTTAAGAGGAGAACCAAGAGTAGATGAACTGACTTGTTTCATTTTTTTCCCGCTCCAGTATCACATCCTTATTCACATTTAAATTGTCCTGGCAAATTAATTTAGCTCAAGTAATGAAGAAATGCATGGTATGTGTAAAGGCTAAACTTTGGTGATGTAGGTAGGGGAGGTTGGTGTTGTTTCACATAATACTGTTTGATCAAATAAGCTTTCTTCTTTTTTTAAATTTGAGAAGCTACGTGTAACTGCCTCTTCATTTAAAAAAAAAAAAAGCTAAGACACACAAAAAAATCACACAGAAACTAGGAAATGCCTGACTCAAAGTTGCCAAGATAACAATGTTCCAGACACTTGGCTGGTGTGGGATTTGATATTATCTTTAGTTGCACAGCTATACAGACATTTTATCAGAGACAGAAGTGCTTTGAAGTGGCCAGGGATTGTTCACTCTCTTCTGCAAGTATTAGCAAGGTGTAAGGAAGCAAGACAGTTGTTGTCTCTCATGTGGCTTGTCAGCTCCCTAAAACCTTCCCATTGACTTCTGGGTCCCCATATAGTAAATGAAAACATGCCTACCATCAAGAAACTTCTGAAGTTGTCTGTGAAGCTGCAGCTGTTAGCTCAGTATCTACTCGTGTCAGCCTAGAGTGAGGTTTTCTCAGCTGTGGTATCTGTCCCACAGGAAAAGGGTACGTTACTTCTGCCCACTTCCTGCAGGCCTGTGGCTTGCAGTGAACAAACTAGGAAGGCTACAGAGCCTCCTGGGATAAACTCAGTGGAAGATACGAACAGATAGATGCATGCTCACTAATGCTAGGCAAAATGTTATGGCTTTAAAATAAACCCTGACCTGTGTCTTTTGTGTTGCTTTTAAGTTGTTTTTTTGTTTGTTTGTTTTTTCAAACTTTAGGAAAAAAACCTAAAACCATCCTGTAGCAGCCCTAGGTAATCATGTGTTTCCAAGATTTAGGACTTCTATTGCAGGCTCTGTGCCGTGATGGTGTTACAAATGCATCAACACTGGAGAGTAACTACCTTTAAGCACTGTCCCAGAGGAAGATGTAGAAGGACAAATGTGACATTGTGTGCTGTGGCTACAGCTATTGACAGTTTGCAGCCACTTTATCTGGTTTGCCATTTGGGCTTGTGAGGTATTTTCTTCTTTCCTGAGATGTTCTGTGTCTCCTGCAAGTTTCTTCTACTTTCTTCATCAATTTCTTTTCTCACACATGTCAATGTGTGTGAGCTATACTCACTTGCTTGAATGTGTGATTCATAGTCACCAAATGTATTTTGTACCACCTTTCTCATCATCTTAATGTCTTCTGCTGAGTGTGGGTTTTGCAGCAAACCCCATGTGTCTCACTAGAGAGAGTCTTGTCCAGGCAGAGGTTTGGATGAGAACTAGCTGACATTCCACAGTTCTTGTTTCTATTACTTCATCTTATCCTTATACCACAAAATCCTTTTGGTAAAAAAAAATAAAAGGATTTTTAGAAACCAGAGACCAAGCTATTTTTAGAGTGAGCTAATAAAGCAAATAGATGAAGGGGAAGGGGAAGATTTTTTGTTTTGCCTACAACTCATTGGTATTAATGATGCCTAACATTAAAAGCAAGCTATTGTGCTGGCAAGTTTGTTACCTTGGAGGAAGGAGGAAGTCTCTGAGAGGACAGTGATGGTGTCATGTTTTCTAGTTAACTTTCTGTTTCTTTCAAGCCCCTTTGTGATTGTCCCATCCTTTATAGAAAACTTGCTCCGTTTTTGCAGCTGTTCAGTGCAGGCTCAGTCCTGGTCACCCAAACCTGAGTGTACCTGTCTACCCGTGGGACTGCAGAATTGTCACAATATCTTCACATGTTCCAGATGCTGAAATCAACAGTATTTTCTCAAATGGATGCTCCAAGATGTCTGTGTTCTGAGATTCTAAGCCCTGTTTTAATTATTTTTATTTTTTTTTCCTTCTTCTGGGTCAAGGGGTTCTTTCTGGTTTGTTTTTTTTTTTTTTTTTTTATTTATTTGGCTATAGTCTCCTCTAAACATTCCTCTTCTACCTCTATCTTGCTGCCAATCTGTGGTTTGAAAAGAGCATATCTATTATTGTTATGGTGATTCACAAACACTTAAAGTACACCATCTGAAGGATGCTAGAAGTCAAAGATCTGGAGACACTTGTCAAAACCTGCAGTACCATGTGGCTGTTAGGATTTCAGTGCTGCCACCATATAGATAACTAATTGGCATAAAACTCACTTTAGGTGGGCTCAGGGAGGAGGTAAGCACAGCAACCTACTTGGTGAGTCCTCTGAATTCTCTGTTCTGTGACAAATGTGCCACAGATGACTGTTACACTGCAACAATGTGACCACAGCAGCAGGCTGAAATTACCGCATCACTGAAACCAGGCTCTTTAGCTGTGATTCATTAGTCTGCCCTCCTGGTAGCTCTTGGCCACCTGCAAGCCAAGAATCAGAGAAGCTGACAGTGGGCTGCATAAACAGGATGGAAATTAAGGTCCCACATCAGAAACATAGAACCATAGAACTATTCAAGTTGAAAAAGACTCTTGGGATCACCGAGTCCAGCCATCATCCCTACTCTACAAAGTTCTCCCCTAAATCATACCCACCAACACCACATACAAATGACCCTTAAACACATTCAGGGATGGTGACTCAACCAACCTCCCTAGGCAGTCTATTCCAATGTCTGACCACCTGACCACTCTTTATGTGAAAAATATTTCCTAATGTTCCATCACTCATTCTAGTTTTATTTTTCCTTTTGTGTGTGTGTTACTGTCTGCCTAGGAGAGGGCAAGGACACAAACTCTTCCATTACTTTGTCTCTAGGCATTAGTGAAGTGTTTGAAAATGAACTGAAAAGTTTCCAAGTGACATTGTGTAATTTAAAACCAGTTCTGGAAAGGATCAGAGTGGAAGACTCAAAGCAAGACCAAGTATTCTGGGCAGCAGAATAGGATGCAGGAGAAAGATGATAATTTCTAATGTCTCTGACCTCCCTCTCTATTTGTGGACAGTTTGTTTAAAACCAGCTGCACTCAAGTGTTTCAGTGCCTGCATTGTTTTGACATCAGTGCGGATTTTGGTGCTTAAATAGGGCAACTATCTGCCTTTACCCTGATCTGTGGTCTCTCTGGACCCAACTTCCTTCTTTCCACCTGTTGTCTGGCAGGCAGAGGTGAGCTGTACAAAGCAAGGACTGGTTGTAGTAGCTGATTACTACTGGTTGTAGTTCTGTAGCTGTACAGTGGCTAAAGGCCTAGCTGCAATAGGTGCTATTGTAACATAAACTTTGATCCTGCTTGTTGAGTTAGCAGATGTTCCTCAGTAAGTGTTGCTGGTGTAGACTGGGATGAAGAGTAGGGAGAACAATTGGGTGCCCCTGTTAAAGAAAAATATCTAATTAGCTCAATGTGAGATTGTAGTTGTTGGTCACTGAACAGATCACACACACAAATTGTGGTGATTTTTCCCAGCTACTTGCCAAGTTATTTTTTACCTTTTCAGTGTTTACTTCAAAAGAACAGGCTTTGTTTTCGTGAGAAGAAAGCCTCACAGCCTCTTACTTCCTCCTTTTACCATGAGTTTGTTTGTAGCGGAAAAAGCATCAGCAAAGGAAACTGTTCTGGATTTGGTATTTACTTACACAAAGTCTTCATGCAGAGACCAGGGAGCTGAGGGTGGAACATGGCATGGTATCTGAAGTAGTCTCTACTGTTTCAAAGACTGAAAAGCTGCTTTATGTGGGAGGCCAAATGCAGTGTCTTAATACGGAATATGAAGTAGTAAGGAGCAGGCTGTCGGCTTGAGCAAACCTGTGACACGCTCTGGCAGATCTGCTGGAGCTGGTTTCTGAAAAGCTATCCCTGAAGTCACAAGACGATAGATGAAGTAAGTTGGCTGAAGATGAGACTGTAAGTATCCTAAGTTTCTGTGACTGTCATATAACATCTGAGCCAGTAGTTAAGCCAGTCTTTTTTCCCTTGAGTGTCATCTTTGTTTTGCTAAGTAGTTAAAAGTTAGAAAAATTGTCATTAACCTTTTATTAACTCATTGAAAATTTCTGTTTTCACTTGCACAGATGAAATCATGCAGCAGGAGATACGGCCACTGGTTGCAGTAGACATAATAGAGCAGCTCCACAGACAATTTGCTATCTTGTCAGGTAAGAAGCTGCTGATAATCACACTGTGGGGTTCTCTTGGAAACATATTGCAATCTGTCATGCTGTCACCCTTCAGTTCCATACATCAGTTGCCATAGTATTTTTATACTGCTAATGGAAAGTGCTGTTACAATCAGACATTCACAGTGCATGGAACTGATAAATGCCAACTTGCTGTGCTTGTTTTTCTTAAGGCAAGTTCATTTTCTATGCTTTCCACAATGGGGTGGAACAGATTTAGAGAGTAAGAAATTCAACAAATCTTTCTATGTGTATCTTTGCACAATGTCCAACCATCTTGTTTATGGGAAAATATTCCTGTCTGTCAGTGAGCTGTTCATGACCTTCCTCCTCTTCCTCATTTGCTTTTGTTTTAGGAATGATTAATTTCTAAAGAGTAAGGTTCTAATCTTTTAAAGATTTGATTATTATGTATTCCTTTGTTTGCCTGCAGTTTGCAGTCACACAAAGTGACGCATGTCCTGCTCCAAATAAATAGCTGATATGAAATATTTGCCAAATTATTTAATACACTTATTCTGGATGCTGTAGTAGAAAAATCCTTATCTGGATCCTAAAATGGCCTCTGCTGTTGACTGTATGGCCTCTGGCAGCTCCTTTTGTCTCAGTTTCCACCTATTTTGCAAATGAGGAAAATGAGGAATTTGCCTTCCTTCTTCCCCATAGACACAATGAAGTAGCATGAATTTGCACAAAAGACTGAGATGGTCATAGTAAGCTACTCTTGGACAGCCTGTCCCTCTCTGCTTGGTAAAGAGGAACACTGGGCAGGTACAGGGATTACACAGACCCAGCTCTGCAAATTATTAACTCAGCAGGCCCAGTCCTTGCTGCATCTTCACATTTTTCAGCACACTTCAAACTGCCAAATGATATGCAGAACTTGTTACTTGCAGGACTCCAACTCTTAAAACTTAGGTTTGCAGTTTTCTAGGTAGCATCCTGTGGCAGTTTCATAAACTCAAGAAATTCCTGGTTTGCATTTGGCAGAAGGTATTGACTGAGCAGAGGTGGAACTAGCTGCCTTCTCATCTGCACTAAAGCATCTCAGCATCACATGTTCCTAGAATTCCAAATGAACACACCTCTGTGCAGAACAGTGTTAGTAACTGCATAGAATTCTCAAATCATTTGCATTCCACTGTTGTGCTTAGTGCAGGATGACTAGGAAATGCTAATGTAGCATCTATCCTAAGACAATGTTTGTGGGGCAGTGTTGCAGTATTCTTCTTTGGCTGTCCAGGCATTCACCTGCATACCATGTTCTTACTGGAGCTCCGCCATGACAAACTGGAGAGGATAGTGAGTAACTTGGTGTTGTTGTCCCCTGGCTGATGGGGATATCAATGCACAGATGCCAAAATAAGGTCTCAGGAGCATCAGGTGTTCAGGGTAATCTTGGCACCCCTTTCCCCTTTTACTATCTGCTTGGCAGAAAAAATGACTGATGGGTGGGAGATGACAGTACCTTAATCTGGGGGTTGTTGTCATGTTTGAATCCAAACTGCATTTAGTAGCACTCCTGAAGCAGTTCTTTAAGATCCCTTTTATTAGTGCTAAGCTGACTTAAAAATATTCTAATTGCAAGGATGGGAACAAGGAATCTATCTGTTGTTTCATTCCTTTTGGGTCTGGATGTTAACATTGGTCAGATCACAGCTAGGATGCTTGTCTGCTCTTTGTAAGCAAGAAAACACTTAGCTGGACTCTCTAGGATGCTCTGCTTGCTTTTTCTGCTCACCAGGCATGCAACACTGCTAAAACCATTGTTGTTTTCAAGGCCTTTGATTTAGCTGATACACAAATGCCTAAAAACGCTTATATCAGTGTAAAGGATATAATGCATGTGGAGAACTCAGTGCCTGCAGTGAAACATGGAGGACTGCTTTTCTTAAAATCCATTACCTTGCAACGTTTGAGACCATTAATAAAAGCTGTATATGGCATCTAACAAGCAATTTGTGGAAAATGGTTTACTAAACAAGAAAAAAGAAAACATTTTCAGTTCCAGCTAGAACATTAAACATGCCACGTGAAGGTAAAGGGTAAATATAGAAAAAGCATTTTAGTATTTCTTTATGGACCTATCATTTCAGCCTGTATTCTCACCTGCTATTTTAGCAAATTCAACTCTTCACGTTTGATCTAATTCTTTTATTCTTGGAAGCAATGAGGAAGATATTTAATAAGACTGTTTAAACCTAAGGTGCTTAGAGACTTTGGAAATAACTCTTCATAGAAGGCAAGGCTGAGAGGCTTGTTTGTTAGTGATTGGCAAATAACTGGTTCAATAGCATACAAGTACTAATAATAAATACCAGAAGTAAGTGAAAGTGTCTTTCATGACCCCATCTCCATATATAACAAATTCTACTTGAAGAATTTTCAGGCTTACATGAAATCTTCTTAGTACAGTTCAGAAATAATCTCCTAATAAGAAATAGGGCAATATAGTTCATAGTTTCTAAGTTGATTTGAGTCTGAATTTTACAGCTAATTTAAGAATCCTGGTTGCCTCCACTCCAAAATCCTTATGGTAGCTTTGGAAGAAGATCATGAACATAAAATGATCTACTCAGAAGTTGCTTTATCCCAGTACCCTACTCTGTTGGTGACCACTGGTGGGTCATAGGTAAAATTTAGCAACAGCAATCATCCTTACTGTCCCTTTATTGCCTAATGAAAACTGAAGCTTTGGTACAAGCCAGAAATTACTGCACTTTTCAAAAATGCATTTCTCTAAATAAGTGTAACTTTCTTTTTCCTCTTGGATTGATTTTCTTTTTTTCCTTTCATCCGACGAAAATAGATCTTGGCACTTTTCTGCCTCATTTCACTTACTAAAGTAATTCACACATAAATTACCTCAGTTGATTATGATTTCCCTGCCTGCCACCCCCACCCCCAGACAGCTCTGCAGCCTTTCCCTAAAGCATGCTGCTTTCCATTAGGCACAAGCAATAGCAAATATTTTGGTGCTTCAGTGCTTGCCTACATGGAGACGGAAATATCTCCTGATACTTTGCCTGTTTCCTGGATTGCCATGCTGATATATTTGATAGCCACCATCTGAAAAAAAATAACACCCTCTACTCCTTGGTCCCACCACTGTGAGCAGTAAAAGACACTCCCTTCTTATTTGTAGAATGTTTTGGGCATATGATATGTTTTTTCTGAACAAATTTATAAGAATCACAGAATCATTCTGGTTGAAAAACACCTTTAAGATCATTGAGTCCAACCATAACCTAACTCTACCAAGTCCAAAAAATGGTTTATGCTGATTTAAGCTAGTTGGTTTTCTTTCTTTCACTCTGGAAGCTGTAGCCTCTGGAGGGCAAGTCATCACCTCTTCCATGCTTGTACATGCAGAGCTCAAAGGATGTTAGTGATTCTCATTTGTTCTACTGCACAGCCTTTGGCTTTGTCAAGCTCTCCTGTTCAGTCCTGTGGACCCCAACTCCATTTGTCCAGTGGTAATGAAGGTAACTGGTTGACTGTTGCAGAGTTTGTTATAAATTAATTTGGTTAATATCAGTTTTTTATTAACAGCTGGCAGCTGAGGCACATGTAGTGAAACAGTTACATTCCCTTGCAGAAAAGCAGAAATGAAAGAGCAGAACAATTGAAGTCAAAGGCTCTTTGTTTTCTCTGGACATGACTCATTAGAAATACTTTCCTCTACTACTGCTGGGTACAAACGTCTTAGAAGAGGATGTGACTGTCTTGCAGTCTCTGAGCAGATGGTAGTAATTATCTAACCAGCCTACTGAGTTTGGTGTTGGATTGTGAATGGCCTAGTTATAATGAATGTATTAGATACTGACAGCCTCCTGTTTGTCCTGGCTGTCTAGGTACCAGACTAACCAAGACTGTATTGTCCATGCCAGGAACAGGGAAACTCTCCAAAGCCTTCCCTGGTTTGCTGTGGTTATGGAAAAGGCTGCAGTGTAATGTGACAATGTCCTTAATCACGTAATTCTACTTTGGTCATCTTTTTTTCCACTGCACTGATCTAGCCCTGCTTAGCTTCTGAGATCTGTTGGAAGTGCTGGTTCTTGTGGTAAATTCTAGTTTTGAAACCACTACCATTTCCTTTCCCGGAAAACTGCACTCCCAATTACGGGTCTACAGCTGTGACAACACAGCAGTGTATAGCTATGTTAATGTGTTTCCTGTAGCTGTTAGGGTACTAGATCACAAAGCTGGATAGTACTGAAAACCTGACTATTCTAGTACACACTAGTTTTTACTGAAGAATGGAAAACGAGTGGTAAAATACTCTTCCTGTCCTACCAACAGACTATTAAGCTGCTGCACCAACCTACTCTTGGAACTACTACTACCTGTCTCCCTTTTTATGCTTAACTTCACAACCTGTTCTTATCTGTAATTACTCTGTCAAAGAGCCCAACCTGCCATTTGCAGCAATAATGGATCCTGTTACTAAATCACAAATTTATTAGACAAACTGTCATGAAGTGTGTTAGCAGAAGTTCATTGTCTTTGTGTTCTGCTCCTGTTTAGTCAATGGACTTCAGTGGATGGGAGACTGTATCTGAAAGTGGTAACTGAGTCTGAAGCCAGTTTATTTAATTTCCAAAGCCTGGAGGGGGTCTGGCCATCTGCTTCCTGTTTAAGCTGAGCCTTTTGGAAAACCTGGCCTGACCTTGCCAAAATGAATTTGGAGTTGGTGTAAAAATCTAGACCCAGAAACCATGATTTAACTTGGAGAAATTCAGCATTCACAACCCTTAATCAACATAGAAAACCAAAATGAGAGCAGGGAAAAAGTAACACCTGACCAAGAAAGGGATAATTTTTTTAGCCAAGACATGACTGAACCCTTCAGCGGTCTGATCCAGGAGATGAATTGGAGTCAGGTCTGCTATGACTACGGGAGCTCTCTGCATGTGGGCAGACCCAAGCAGCTGGCCTGCACGTGTCAGCAAGATTGGAAAGAAAACTTCCAAAACTAA